TTATTTGATTCACTTCATCATATCAGTGTGAATAGAGTATTCAGCCTCCGTGTTTTACTGAATTTAAACCTGTTAGTAAATCTTAGTGGGTATCCATTTTATACCACTCCATCCGTCAACAATTTGGTTTCTAATTCCTTCATATCTTCTAAGAAAATACTCTTTTAGAAAATAAATGTATGATTAAACCACTGTTGTACTGGACTAGAGAGTCACTACGGGAAGTAAGGCCTTGTTCTATCTAAGTCGGCTTCTCGTGGACAGACTGTCTGATTGAGTCACCCCTTACCTTCGATTAATCAGTATACCTTGAAAGTTCCAGTTTGTGATCCACCCCTTCTTTGCAAGTGAGGCTGTAGAGACTTTGTACAGTATTCATTTTCTCTAATAAGCATATCGCCTCCTCAGGTTTTTCACAAATAACAATTATATCGTCCACATAACTCTTGTAAAAACCAACAATCTCCAGTCAAATCTTCTGTTAACTCTTCGACGTATGACGTATACACATCACCCAAAAAAACCACTTATTGCAAGATCATCAACATATCGAAAATATTCATCCTCATTTCGAAGTGAACGTCGTCGGTGCATATTAATAATATGTGTTTGAGAGTTGAAAGAGGAATAAGAAATGAAAGATTTTAGGGAGATATGTATGTAGTCATTGAGGATATCAGTAGTTTTGGTCAATGGTACATTAGTGAATAACGAATTCATATCAAAAGAATACATAGTCTTATCCATGATACTGGGGTCAAGTAATTGGTGAATAATTTAAAATGTATCTTTCAACATAACTTCTTATGGGATTCGAAATGTTTAACCAACAACTTTGTTGGTTTATGTGAAGGTAACCGACACATAGATAGCCTTGGTTGAAGCGGATTATTAACTTTATGTGTTTTAGGAAGTTCATGCATACGTAGATATTCAGATCCTTTAGTTTACTAACTAAATTCCTTTTCTTGTTATGATACTAGTAATTTCCCGTTGACATGCAGGACCGAATTGCTCTACCTCCGTTGGTGGATGGGCTTCTATGCGGATGCCTCGATGCTTCCGGATATTTATAATGTTATACTGATCTTGTTGACTAGCAAAGGAATCCAAGATTCGCATTTCGTCCTATTTAGAACTCGTCAGCTGGATGTACCTGCACACCCCAGTGAGTGATCTTGTTCCATTGAGACTTAAACCCAGTACCCATCGCTTCACATGCAAAAGCGTTATCCATTAAGGCAGTAAGGCAAGATAGCCAGCCACCTCTTGTGCAATGAGTAATAGGTCAAGATAGCATCATGAACGTATAGCAGGATCAACGCATCCGTATAGGAGCCCATCGGCCAACAGAGCTCAAGCAATTCGACCCTGAATAGCAACGGGTGATTAAAAGTATCATAACAATATCTGATACCCGTTGCACAAGAGGTGGCTGTCACACCTCGATGGATAACGCTCTAGCGTTTGAAGAGATGAGTATGTGGTTCGAGACTCACTGGGTTGTGCAGGTACATTCAGTTAACGAGTTATGAATAGAACAAAACGCGGATTTTGGATTCTTCTACTAATCACCAAGATCAATATGAATTCCTTTTTGGTTATATCAATCATGCTGAGTAGTTTTAACAGGATAGAACTTATTCCCCTCCCCTTCTACTTTATGTATTCCTTTAGTAGGAAGATCTGCCATAAGTTTTCTTTTGTCGCTACGAATGTATTGCGTCTCACATTTATGTCCAGACTTATTCATATCAACAACTTCTGGTACTTTATCATGCATAAATAAGTATGATAATATCAGGATTATTTTGCAAGCCATTTAATGCCTTGAAATGCTGAGAGGTTAAGATACTTCCGTGTCTTGTCTGCGGATTGTGGAATTGATGAGTAATATCCACTAGTTTGACTGTAAGCCGACTTTGATGTTGGATACAGGTGAACTTAGCTGATCATAAAGATTTTTCCAACTGTTCCAATGGTAAAAATATCTGATCTAGCGACTGATGCCTGTGATGTGTATTATCCTGATAACAGTCATCATAAATCGTCCATTGGAGAAACTAGTTGTAGTTAGAATAATCAGGTGCATGAAAGTCAACAAAAGTAAAAGCAAAAATAACCTTCATAGGAATATTTGTTGTATAATCCTTGGAATTAGGGATTTTTTATTAGGTTCACTTAACAAAGATTGTTTAAAAGGTATTTGAATTTATGTGGTACATTAGTATGTATGAAATCAACATAATTTGTCAAGGACTGCACGCATAATAAATAATTGTGAACTCAAAGCTTATGTAATTAGATGGCTCGATCACAAATCAACTTGAAGATCCATGCTATATTACTATACTTCGTAGGAACAGCAACTCTTGTTAGCAAAGGTAACCCTCAAAATTAGCACATGACCCTGGTGATTATGCATTGATTAATGTCATACCACAAAATTTCTATGTAATAACTCTTCAGATTTGGAAACAGGTGACGAACGTACACCTCACGCGAAAGTAGCTCTTCACTTTAGCATCTTGTAGTCCTTTAGGTAATGTGAAATGAAGAGCAGGTCTTGTTTAACTAGAAGTATTTTTGATCATGATAAACAATCCTGAGTTTATTACTGTTATGTAAACAAAATACGTCTTCAGCTGTTCAATTTTACATTTATTACCCGCAAACGTTTATAGACTAATCATAATGATTTTACTGACTAAGTAAGAACACAGAAATAACGGTTAAGGTGGTAAGAACACATCAGAGTAGGTAAACAGTAACGGTGTGTATGATCATCAGGGTTAAAATATTTGCGGACCATCATCATATCTGTAGCACAACATGAAGTCCCCCTACGGTACTTCTGCTTCCATAATCTAGAATCGTTCTTCACATAGATGAATGAAGTCTAATCACAACAGTATTGCTACTCCTAAATCGTCATATCTGACTTAGTAGGAGGGGGAAAATTGAAAAATAAAAGTTAAATCATTCAAAATTTTCTTTAACCATTTCTAAAGATGTAGTACTGAATTTCGTAGTATTTTATTTGTCATTATGTCAATGATGACCGCAGTCGAAATGTAAATTCTAGTCGTAACAGTTAACCATTCCTCTTTCTGGATGACTAACTTATGTAGTTATCTTTAATTTGATGCTTTCATGGAGATCAGCTGGTTGACTTGGAGTATGCAGATGACATTGTCCTGCTAGGTGAAGAGACTGACAAAATGCAGGGTCTTCTGAGCGCGTTGAGCAGAAATCTGAGTGTGGTTGGTATGCGTCTCGCACATGTCAAAGTAAGATGATCCTGTGGGACTGGTTTGCAATCACTCCCAGTATACGGAGTGAAGTGGTAGAATGTGTCGACCACTTTACTTAGTTGGGGAGTCGCATCAACCCGAACGGAATGGTTGCTGACGAAATCTCAGCTCAGATACAGAAGGCTCGTTAGGCACTCGCCAACTTTTGTTATCTGTGGTGCCAACTTGAGCAATATCAGAGGACGAGTATACTGTACTGCAGTCCTTTTTTTTCTGTCCTACAATTGAGACATGACCATTAAAACTAGAAGATATGAAGCGCTTACAGAGTTTTGATCACAAATGTTTTCTTAACACTGCTCGAAACCGGTGTAATCACCATGTCAGCAATGCTGAGGTAGGACGAAAGGAACTAGGTAAAACAGGCAAGTCCATTGATACGGTTGTGAACCTTGGTCGACTGAGATGGTTTGGACACGTACTGTGCATACCGAACCACCGCCTACCTGTACGTGCCATGCCAGGGGAAGTTGGATTAGGGTTCAGAGTGCCTAGGCCAAGACATGACAACTATCGATGAGGTCTCTGAGTGTTGGTCTGACTCATGTAGAGAGAGGTACAGTGTCTGGCTGGGGTCCTAAAGACGAAAAGAATAAGTGGTTGAGGACTCTTGATCACATGGCTGAAAATCAGTCACAATAACGCAGATGTATTCACTTCTTCTAAAGCTTGAGTATTTGCACTAACCTTCACCTTCAGATTGTGTATTCTCTCATACAACTTTGATATTATTCGTTTTCTATCCATTTGTTCTTTGTATACTACTGTGAAGTATGGTAACTTGAACCAATGCAGTTGTGTGCGAGGTTATACGTTGATTTTGTCTGTCTAATATACACATGTAATTGAATTATGCAAATCATATTCCTTCTACACTGACAGCATCGACCTTAGTAATTGTAGTCAACCCGACAGTTATGTCATCATTGTTAGTTTGTTTGGCTAGCTGTTGAAACTCAATAGTGGAATCCTTCAAAACTGTCTAGTCATCTGGAAACATGAATGTGATTAAATCAAAAGTATCTAGTAAAATTGATTATCCCAGCGTTGAACCTGCTTTCTTTTAGTACAGTATAAAATAAATTAATATTATAAAAGTTGCTAAAGCTGGTGGGACTTTGAATGAACACAATTTGTGATAATAATGCATCTCATATTCTAACTGTTTTGTACACTTCAGATTCCGTGAATCAACGAATACAATGAATCGCAGCTGTAAAATCCATTGATTAAACAAGTGCAGTGCTCCTAATGGGAAAAAACATCTTTTGACAGACAACACGACAACCAACAACATCTGATTGAGTGGGACTGAAAAATAACCTAGCTTCAACGATTTTCTTCATAAACGATTTTGTGTCATATTAGATCATATCTTGCTCACCAAACCTATGAATAGTAGAGAAATCCAGATGCGTGTTTCGTCCTACCTATAACTCGTCAGCCGGATGTGCCTGCACACCCCAGCGAATGGTCTTATTCCATCGGGACTCAAATCCAGTACCCATCGCTTCAAACGCCAGAGCGTCATCCACCAAGCCACGATAACCACCTCTTGTGCAACAAGCATCGGATGCTGTTATGATACTTGTAATTCCCTTTTGCTATGCAGGGCCACACCGCTACATATATGTTCATGTATTTGAGTGTAACACTGTGGCACTAAAGGCTACACAAAAGTCACACTTTTAATACCTCAGTATATTTATTATGAGATCAAAGAAATGACAAGCTAGAATTAGATAAATGTTAAAAGCACCCACTGCATGAATGATTTATGAAAAATGAAAAAATAGACTACATATGACAATGGAGTGAATAACTCGGAGAAACGCAAATCAAATACGCAATGAATAAGTAAAAAGAAAATGAAGTACAACAACAAAACAAAACAGTATAGAGCCTTTTACTGGGAAATAAAAATAAGTCTTGGTGACATTAATAACAAGAATAATAATTGAAAGCTTTGTTAAATTGACCACTTATAGAACAGAATCAGCATTTCCATACAGCATCATTAGATAAATATCACAAGAGACTTATAGTACAACATAAAATACTATGAAATTTACTTGGATTAGTCTAAATATTGAATGATACAGGAAGGATACGAACTGGAATGATAAATATTCATCAAAACATAGAGTTTATAATGTGATCAGATCATTATAATTACTATTATTATCATTGGTATTTCAGTGTTGTTGGCCTTATCTTCGTTGAACATGGCCATTAGATTTTTGTTAATTACTTCGACTGAATCTGAGCTCTTTCTTTTTATCTACTGAAACCATATTCACACAAGCTGCATGAAGTTGGATCAGGCTAATGGACATTTTTAAAATTGCGATTGGTGCTGTTACACAAGCCAACACATTTGATAATCCAAAGAAAATACTATTTAAGAGTAAGAAAAAAGAGAACAGGTGGAAAGAAAACATAAAAATAGTTACGCATCAAGTTTTACACTACTGTATATCAAGTAAAATCATAGTTAACGAAACATCCCCATTGAGGCATAAAGAAAAGAAGAGATTATTCAGCCAAGAAAATTCTCCTCTTTCAACGATATCATCTTCTAAAGCTGTACAACTGTATTTATATATAGCACAAACGTATAATAGCTTGTTGCTAAACAACAAGGTATAATTACTTCACTAAGCTAGTGCTAAAAAAAGAAATGAAGAGTGGAAAGTACTTGCGTAATCACCTTTTAAACAGTGAAAATAAAAGAAAGGTGAAGAGGTAAGACACGATGAAAATTGTTGGTAGGTGTGAAATGCAAATAATGATTGTCCACTTGATAGATATAAGGAAGGTGAAGAAAGAAACAAGGCTCAGGGTGAAGATGATAACAGTAAACTAAATAATGATAATAATTTTGTTTTACATTCACCCCTCGACAACTATGCAGGATAATGCTTAGAGATGCGTTTTGAAAGTGTGTAAACTAGTGGCCACTAGTAGCCACTAGAAAATATCAAGTCGAAAGCTGAATTGTTACGGCTGTTTCAAACAGTGTGAGCATCCAATAAATCCATATTAAACAACTTTCTTAAAAGTAAGTGCAAGTATGTATATAAAACCAGTGTAACTCTCTCGTTATGGCATTCAGTCTTTTCAACAACCTTGTTTTAGGTATCGAAACAATCCCATTCGAACATAAGAAAACACAGAAGACGATTACAGCGAAGAAAAAACTTCCTTTTCGACGAAATCATTCCCTTAGCTGTGAATTCGTGAATATATGGTAAAGAGATAGAACACTTCAGAGTGATTTCTGGTCAGAGGTTAGTATGAATTGCATCACAAAAGAAAGTTATGTAGTCGGGAAATAAACAAAATGATTACAAAATAAAAATATTGGGTTATTTAGAGTGATTGATAGTTTACGATGGCCATGGCAAAGAAAGTGGTTGTACATACTTCCTTTGAACGCATAATGATGGTCTGAATTTTTGAATCGCCAATGCTTCAGCTATGCCCAAATGTCTTAGCCTCACTCCTTTCGAGTCACTTGGTTGCAACTTGTACAGAATTTTGAAGGACTTGTCAAAAGGAGCCAAGTGTCTTGAATTTACTAAGTGTCATGTTACAGAGCTGAGGATGCATTTCCGTCCTCCCGCAGTCAATCAAGTTGAATAGTGTTTGCAAGCGCGTTGCATAGGCTGGCTCACGGTACAGCTGATGTACTGGGCTCCACAAGAGCAAGTAAACTGATATAGGTACATTAATGTGACCTTATGCTCCAGCTTATTCTTTGCGTAAGATCAGAAACTCGTTCGTCCGTTTTCAAACGATAAGCTGGAGCATTGGACCATACCGATGTGTGTATATCAGTTTACCACTCCTGTAGAGCCGAGTACATCGGCCTCACCATGCACCGGTTTATGCAACGCGCTCTATTATCAATCATACAAGGTTTTAATCTTTATCATTAAGAACTAAGTCTAAAAAAGTTGTTCAGTTCAGAATAGTATTACAGTCAAATGTTATCACGTTTCACATACATTTCATGACCTCAAACAATTACCCTAGAAAATTACCTATCGTTACAAATTTTACGGTTCAAGCATTAGCGGTCAATTTGACTGGAAATTATGTTCCATTCGGTCATTCTAGTTCAATCCTTGCTCCTTTCACCATCTTAATCTTTAGCGTTTCAAAATGCTCCCCTCTCCTAACTCTTCCATTCGATTGATTTCTTACCTATTATTAAGTACTCTTTGTTTCTTTACTTACCCTGATAACAATCCATTTACTAAGTGTTTTGTCATATTACTCAACTCATTATTCATACTTAATTTCTATGATATTATGATCAATACTCACTAGTCTAAGCAACCCTGATTTCTAAGACCATGATAATCTAACTTCGTTTGTTACCATGCCTTTTGATCATTTTTCAACATTCAGAAATACTAAATGTAGTTTGCATTTTTGTAAGTCACAGGGTGTTTGAAATGAAATAATTCCTACGTCTCGCACAAGGTCTGGTCCGAGCTTCTTAAAGGAAATCACAAGGATATCAAGGATATGTAAATGATTATCATTTTGACTATCTAAGATAGCCGTGGTTGGGCACACTGGTATTGATATAAGGTGATGATTGAGAGTGAAATGAAAATTTGGACCGCGGCGGGATTGAAACCAGCGACCACCAAGTTTCCTGCCCAGTGCTCTACCAACTCAGCTATGAGGCCCGACTGCTGACCCATCTCATTTCACTCACCAAGGATTTTGCTCTACCATCATGTGAATTCGTGACGTATTACTACCGCTTAATCGTACTCACACTGACAGAGTAGTTAGAACTTCTCATCTAAATCCAAATCTAATTGAATAAGAGAGAGGGAGCATCATATTGATCATCATTTTGACTATCTGAGATAGCCGTATGCAAATGAATCCAAAGACGTGTATTTTATCTCCTTGTCCAATCCTTTTCGTATAGCCACTGTCCTTCTAAAATATGATCGTTTAGTGTGAAATTGCACGTCTGTCGTATATGTTATTATTTCTATTCTCCTTGATTGTAAATAAGGGACAAAAATTTCACAGATAATATTGTAGTCATTCGGTTATTTTTACAAGTACAATAGGGTGTATGATGCGAATATATGTGTCAGTTAGCTTGTTAAATATAGAGATGAATGATATTAACGAATTTTTCATTAATTTGTCGGAATAGAGTGAAGATGAATGACAGTAATGACGGAGGGGACGATAATAATAATAATGAACCATATCAATCCAGATTGTGCTGTCGCTGTTGAAGAGATAATAAGGTAGAGACTGGTGTTCAAGGTAAATGCTGGAGTCTCCTTACTAATTAGTGAATGCAAAGAGGGAGACAACTGTACTCCATCCCGTTTGTTCAAACTGTCTAGATTCTCCACATATATAGGGCTTCGGATCTCAATCTTTCTTGGTTTGACCTAACACCTTTTGTAGAAACTTGGTTCCATCAAAGTCAATTTTGTGGCCCATTTCTATTGAATGTAGCGCGACTGCCGATTGGTTTTCTAGCTACTTAACATCGGCTGAGGTTTTTGGAATCTGCTTTAAGCATAGTCTATGCTCCTTCACTCTTACATTTACCTGCCTGACTGTCTCCCCCGCATGACATGGAGGAGATCATGTGAGGAAGAAATGAAAGCATCTGGGCGTTGGTGGAACCAGGTTCAAAAGACCGCAGAGAACAGAGTGAAATGGAGATGTGCTACTGAAGCCCTATGTTTCACTAGGAACCCAAGGGACAAATAAATAATAATAATATTGTATTATAACCAGTAGTTTTTAGGTCATCATCTAGTTTGTATGTTGCTGCACGTGGGTCGGATAGAAAAGCATACGCGTCTGGTGGCGCAGCCTCATCCATCCAGTACGAAAATTTGCTGTCCCAGCTACGTGTGCCTGTTATAGCTATGTGATTAACTGTTATGTGTCCACAGCCAACTCCCATCTACTATGATATTTTCTTGTAGTCTCGTTGTTAGCCCATCTAACGATAAGTTGAAGATATTTTAGGGATGCGCGGGTGTTTTTTACGTTTTCACATTTGAATAGTTAAAACAAATAAAAAGGAACAATTTGACGAGATATATTCGATCAAATATTTTTGGTAGCCCAAAATTTAAGCAGGCCACCAAAGATATAGAACCAAGTGAAGATCCCATCGCTACACTGCCGATTTTTCTGTACATTTTGCTATTAAACAAGAACTGAATATTCATCGTACACTCGATCATCAACTCCCTTGAATTCCCAGTATTTATTTCTCATTCTACCAGCTGTTCGCAGATACAGTTCACAGTTCCAATAAGAGGAACATAAACAGACATTTGTCAAAAGATGCCATACATTTACCCATAATATTTATTACTTATTCTACTGACAAACTGGAAGGTATCATTGACGCTATATCTAACTAGTTCATCCTACAAGCCTGTAACAGTTTTACCAGCCTCTTCGCAATCCTATGGTGGGGCGAATGTGACATATTTAGGATAGGGTAAAGTAGCACTTCAGTTCTGTGTTTCTGGTAAACCATACATACGGAAAATCGTACTGCTTAGGGGGGTTCCAAGTTTTGAAACAGCTGAGAAAATACACCATTCTTTTAGCCGCTTTAGTGAAGAGACTATATGCTTTTCTATTTTTTCGGTTACATATTCAATGATTCCAACTTCTGAAACTTTTATAGACTTCAGGATCAAAATTTGGCCTGATGGATTACAATAAGTTGAGCATTGGGTAAATGGATTATGTGGTGAAAATTCAAGTAAATAAATCACTGCTATACTATATAATGGTGCCAGTCCAAATGATAGAGATAGATAAATCAGCATAAATTAGGACAGAGTTTCATCGATTCATTGTGCCACACTTTACAGTCCCATGCGAAAAACTGAATACAAATAATACTGAAGTAAACAAAAGTGTGTGAGAGCAAAGAGCATTCAAAAAATGAAGATCAACAAAAAAGTCGGCGTATTCAACCAACAGGACCATGTCGTCTGCATAACGCAAGTCAACGAGGTACCCTCCTAAAACTAAATCCATCCCTTAATAGTTGTTAGTACCTACGGTTCATCATCATCATCATTATCAACATAGGACCAGGCATTACTGCGTAACGTTCCAAGTTGCCACACCTTGCGTCATTTCATCAAGTAGAAAGCTAGTGAGCTGAAGGATGAAGATAAGTGAATGCAGTCAAAAGAAATATAAAGTACGAAAAGAAAAGAAAGAGGAGTGACAAAATGGTGAGATTCGGTATAGCGTTGTTAAGATGAGGATAATGTGTGTATACATCTGCGCCACTGACTTCGGTTCTGAGCCATATCACCTACAGTCAGTCTCCAACCACTGGTTCCTCTTGTCCCGTGGACCCTAACCACCTAGTCTGCATCGTCCCCACCCTACATGGCTTAAACCAACAGTCAGAGACTTCATACATTGGTGCCATGTTTTAGTCTGGCCACCTCGAGCCTTTTTCCAGCCTGGACCCACCTCAGCCAACATAGTGTGACGAGGCAATCGGTGACTAAGCATACGTAGTACGTGTCCCAACCATCTCAGTCGATGAAGGTTCACAACCTCGTCGACTGACTTACCTCTTCTCCCCAAAACTCTACACCTAACTTCTGCATTACTCACATGGTGACACCACGGAATACGTCCTATATTACGAAGGCAACGGTGGTCAAACACCTGAAGCCTTTTTGTATCCTCCACTTTCAATGGCCATGTTTCACAGCCATAAAGTAGAACAGAGCGGACTGCTGTGCAGTACACGCGACCCTATTAAGGGTCGCGTGTACTGCACAGCGTGTACTGCACTGTACCTACGGTTATATCCAAATGATAAAGACTTAAATAAACCTCAGCCAACTGTTGCTTTTCCTGTACAAAATAGCGAATCACTGGTTTAAACAATACATTTTCAAACAGTGAGTTGTAGGTTAAAATCTCATTTCATAAATCAAGATTTGGGAAGCTATGTAATATCCTTAAACCTCACATTATACGTGCTGACCACTGCTTACTGTATACAGCTACTAACCTATACTTTTTTCTTGTAGTTCGTGTACAGCACCTTCAAAAATGATAAAACCGTCAACCATGCAAAGTGAAATCCAATTATACGATCCCTGAAACACCAGAATAATCAGCTGCCGTCTTCAATTTAGTGTATCTAAATAAAGGGACGTAGAATAATTGAGGACTTGGCAAAAGGTACAGATATGATTCAGTTAATCCTGAATAAACTATTAGGTATCCCGGAGTCATAGAATTTATGTTAATCAAACTAATTTCTCTGCGGTTATCAAACCAAGGAAATAGGAATAGCAACAAATTACGATCAGTCAGTTGAAACTACCTCTGATCAACCATCTAAGCTAGTAATTTAACCAATTTAGCTATTAGCTTTAACTACAATCCGTACAATAAATGCAAGCAGCAGAATTCAATCTTTTAACTTCATTTTAGGCTTTTTTTAAACGTATTTTCAAAAACAATAAGAGTTGAGAAACCTATGTCAATGATCAACTTAGATTGAAGTTGGATAAACGAATAGCAAATGAAAGGCCACTAAATTCGCTGTTTCTCCATGTTTTCGCTTGATTTTTTAATAGTCACCCACTGAACTCCTCAGCTCTTTGATTAATAATTATTGCCTTATCTAGACTACTTTCTGTAATAGTTCTGGACAGTTGGTAAGGAGTCTCAGGGTCTGGTTATTCTATTGCTACTCTAGCTCTTGCTTTACACTTGGCCTATGATAGTTTGCTTTGAGTGTAACTAACTTGCTTTTTACATGATTAAGGGGGAAAATACAAACCTGTGAAGCATTATACGCACTTACAAATAAACCGAGAAAAGACATACTTCAAAGGCTTCTCAGTGACGACACTGTATTCTGAGTTTCTAGCTAGTTAATGAAACATTAAATATCACACAACATATTAAGTAAAATAATACATGCAGACTTACATTTTGGTCCGGGATAAAAGTGAGCTATGTAAAGCATTGTGTAGAATAGCTCATTCCCGGCACACATCAAAAACAAAACAACCTGTGTTAAAATACAAAATAAACGCTTTTGTGGTGACCTAACTTACCTTGTTTGTATAGTACAATCGGAGGAATGGATTACTCTTTAGATCTATAACCTTATGGCTCGAACTCCCTGATAAAATAGAACTGAAACTATAATTAGTAAAGAAGTTATTACCTGTGTAAATGCAACCAGTGACTAGCTATGTCTATGACCATACTGAGTTGGAAGAAAAACATATAAGAAGGATAGAAATATATCAAACACCCTAACAGGCACATCGTTGAGCATCGATCAACAATCATATCAAGCATTGCACCAAACTTGGTACCTTAACGGAAATTAAAATAAGGTATAAAATCTTACTTTGATTTAATGAACGCGCAGCATGACCATCTACGGCATCTAGTAAACATGAAATGATATACGTCAGAAGTGTTATTTCACAATTATTCTTCATAAAACAACACGCCAGAAGCAGAAGTACGATTCGTATGTAACCTGCAAAAAAGGAGATAATACAAGACTACAGTGTAAGCCAGAGAAATGTAATTAAAAGGAATCAATAGCCATCATATTCTTAAACCGGCGCTAGAACTTCTTTACCATTTGATACTCATATATTTCTCAAACTGAGGAACAAAGAAATGTAAATATATGAAATCGGAAAACGACGCATCCTAGATTATCTACTAGGAATTTCCAGAAAGCCCCCTAAAAATGAAATAAATGTTTAGAAAGATAATTGAGCTAATGATAATTGATCATCACCATGACATTTACTTCGTCGACTACTGCGCGACCGACAGCTGCTATGATGACAGGTTGGTCGGGCTAGCATATCACAATGATCCAACGAGCTACGCTGACTGGAACGCTTGTTTCTCCACACCCTGTTATGTCAGAAACATCTGTTGGATAGTGGTAAGATGAAAAGCAGTTACCGTCATAGTGTACATTCCTACACTATGATGGGGGTCCGAGGGCAAAGTCGCACCGCTAGCTGGATGAAATGTGACAGCAATAACGTGTTTCCACAGTTGACCAGAAGTACTAAGCTGGCGCTGTCTTCTTTATGGGGAGGTGGGGTTAAAAAAGATAGCCCTCAAAAGCATCACACTCCTCACTGCCCTGCGGTACTCCAATGATATGGGTTTTCTTGTCCGGTGTTAACACAATAAGATACCAATTCAGCAGTCCTAAGACGGCTATGTGGGACGAGCTTTAAGTAGATGTCCGATGGAGACTGAAGTCACGCACAATTATTCCTTCATATTTTTATCTTGCAGAAACAACCCAACAGTGTAGGCAGCCGAGAAGTATCAACTGCCATCACGCTTACCGCAGTATACGAAACCCAATAAAACGACCTACCTTCCTCACCTTTACCTTCTCCTTCACTTCCTGTTACTAGCATTAGGCCTCGTACAACTTGCTCAACATCTTACTCTGCAACCATTTCCAATGATTCAAGCCAGCGAAACACCATTCCTAATATCCTAGAAATTCCCTATCAGCTTCATATTGAAGGTCTCAACGTCTGAACCCTATGCCAAACCGGACAGCAAACATCTCTTGTCAAAATTCTAGAATCTCGAACCATAGATGTATACTGTTTTTGAGACACGTATAGAGGGCCCAAGTATGGTTATTCACCTAAATTCAACTGACCAATGCGATCATCCTGCGATATTCACCTTACGAGGGTCTGGAGATTCGACGGTGTAAGCATAGCAAAACGTGCTTCAGTAGAAAGTGCCCTACTCCACTGGATACCACTCAACAACCGTCTGTGTGCTGTTGACTGAGTAAATGTATAAGAACTAGGGAGGATCATTAGACTGACCAATGCCTATTCGTAATCTCTGTCTACTACAGTTCCGATAATACAAAAAGGAATCCTATCAAAAGCTGTTAATTTTGCTACAGAAACCAAAACGTTGAGACACAGTTATAGTAGTGGAAGACTTCAAGTGGGGAAGCCTTGTCAGTCAGAAAAGCATTCTGATGATCTCCAAAGACCCGTGTCAATGACCTGACAACAATGATCGTCTGTTGCGATTTTGTTCTTACAACCAATTATTTCTGATCAGCACCAACTTCAAACAGGAAGAAACATTATGTCATTTGACATATGCCGACACCAAACCAATGAAAGAAACGTAGATCATACTGCTATAAGCCATCGCTGAAGAGAATCGGTGGAGGATTGCCGCTTTTCCTGGAGTACCTGTCTGGAGGCCGATCACGTATGTGTTAGTACGGGAATGTGGACGTTAGCACCTTGACGTTCGCAGCAAGCAGATACCAGTGAATTTTATGTAGTTGGATAGAAAATGATAAAGTCAAGTGCGCGTTTATAGAAGAAACAGTAAACCATTCATCTGAACGTAACAGCAATCCTCATTCTGAGCAAGCCCAGTGTGATATTAAGTCTTTTGCATCAATAGTGGTAAAGACAGTAGAAAGCCCACATCTAAAGGTTAACGAAAACCAGTAAATTTCCCTAACTTCATCTAAACTGACTGATGCGAGAAGACTCATTGCAGCTAGTTCTGAACACTATGAGTCGAGAAAGAAGCTTAAAAGTACAACGGCTGATAGTCTTTGAAATGATGATGAGGAATGTTAGATGGCTGAAGCGAGACAGATGGGGAAGCCATCAGCATTGGGTAATACCCGGCAACTACTTAGGCTTATCAGGCATGCCAGCAAGAATAAGACAATGGTTAGTTGAACCATCAACCTTACCTAGTTAACTAGTTCACTAGTTACTAGCCGGTCCTAAGCCCGGGTAAAGAGGGAAGGTTGGGCATAGGGCTAGCAACCCTACCCCGTAAAACAAATCTAACCGCTAAAGAAACTTCAAAGCACAAACAAAATATAAAAAATGAAAACAAACTTATTCCCCGCTGGAATCGGAGAGGCGAAATGACGCCAGTCGGTGAAAGCCTTCGGGAAGCCAATTGGCCGATGTGTCTTCTCTCGATGAAAGCGAAAGTAAACGTGGGGACATGGAATGTCCGTACGATGTTTGAACCCAGTAAGGCAACCCAGATTGCAAACGAGATGAGAAGGTATCACATCGAAGTGCTTGGAATTTGCGAAAGCAGATGGAATGGGAGTGGACTCTCCAAACTGTCAACTGGAGAATCAATAATCTACTCCGGTCACCCAGACGACAACCACGAGCACACTGAGTTATGCAGTGGCTATCATGATGTCCTCAAGAGCATCGAAGGCTCTCATGCAGTGAGGACCAATCTCCTCCAGGATCATGACAGCAAGATTCAACTCAAAAGGAAGGAAGGTCACAATCATACAATGTTATGCACCTACAAATAATGCAGAGCAAGAGAAAAAGGAGGAATTCTACAGAAAACTTCAATCAACACTGGACAAGACGTCAGTTGGCGATATCAAAATTCTAATGGGCGGCGTGACGTGAATGCCAAACTGGGAGGGGACAACACAGGAAGAGAACTAACCATGGGTCGAGAAGCGCTACGTGAAATGAACGAGAATGGAGAATTGTTTGCAGAATTCTGCGCATTCAACGATTTGGTAATTGGAGGCAGTGTGTTCAGGCACAAAGATATCCACAAAGCGACATGTATTTCACCAGATGGATACACTAAAAATCAAATCGACTTTATCTCAATCTCAAGAAAATGGAGACGCAGTCTACTTAACACAAGGTCAAGAAGAGGAGCAGATGTAGGCTCAGACCACTATCTAGTGCAAGGAACCTTCCAAATCAAGTTAAAAGCCTTCAAGGAAGCTGGTGATAGACCTCAACCCAAGTACAACACTCGGAAACTGAAGGATGAAACTACAATGAAGATCTTTAAAGCAGCCATCAAGACAAAATGAGAGATATGGAGGAAGATCCCTGAAGAAACCTGTGTGGAAGAACACTGGAACTCTTTGGAAGAGATGTGGAAAGAAACCTGCACAACAGTATTAGGAAGGAAGAAGAAAGAAGACAAGGAATGGATCTCGACGGATACCTGGAAGCTGATAGAGGAGAGGAGGATGGTGAAACAGAAGATAAACCAGTGCAAGGACGCTCAACGACAAGAGGAACTGAGCACAATGTATAAAACACTGGACAAAGAAGTGAAGAAGAGTGCACGCAAAGACAAAAGACACTTCTACGAAACACTGGCAAGTGAAGCAGAACAGGCTGCAGGTAAGAGAGACCTGACGACATTGTATCAAATAACCAGAATACTATCCGGGAAGAGATCAACACAGATGAAACCAATAAAAGATGAAGAAGGAAATTTAATTACGAAAGAAGAGAAACAAAGGAAACAATGGGCCAACTACTTCAAAAAGATCTTGAATCGACCACCACCTGCACTTTGTCCAGAAATACCACCTGCAGCCACTGAATTACAAGTGAACATAAATCCTCCAACGAAAATGGAAGTCCTGAACGCCATAAAGCTACTGAAATGTGGGAAAGCAGCAGGACCAGACAGGATACCGCCAGAAGCACTGAGAACAGATGCAGAGACAACAGCGGACATGCTCACACCACTATTGCAGAAGGTGTGGAAGGAAGAGAAGGTACCTGGCGATTGGAAGAAGGGTTACCTTGTCAAACTGCCGAAGAAAGGAGACCTCAGTGATTGCAAGAACTGGCGCGGAATCACTCTCCTGTCCACCCCAAGTAAAATATTAAGCCGCATCATCCTAGAGAGGCCTAAAGATACACTGGATTCAAAACTACGACCGGAACAGGCAGGCTTCAGGAAGTACAAATCATGTGCAGACCAAATTGCAACGCTTCGCATCATCATAGAACAGAGCATAGAATGGCAATCAGCTCTCTACCTCAACTTCATCGACTTTGAGAAGGCCTTTGACAGCGTCGACCGAGAAGTAATTTGGAAACTGCTTCAATACTACGGAGTACCGCAAACCTTTATCCGCCTCATTCAACAACTATATGAAGATGCCACATGCCAAGTAATTCACAATGGGAAGCTCAGCGATGATTTTGAAGTGAAGACAGGAGTGAAACAAGGTTGCCTACTATCCCCCATGATATTCCTTATTGTGGTGGACTGGATCATGCAGCAAACAGTGGGCAGCGAGAAGAGGGGGATACGCTGGACTACAGAAAAGAACCTAGAAGACTTGGATTTCGCCGATGACTTGTGCCTAATGTCACATAAACTTGAAGATCTACAGGCAAAAACTAACAAGTTGATAGAAGAGGCAGCGAAGACGGGACTTCAAGTGAATATAGAGAAGACAGAGGTGATGAAGATACCGCATCAACAACTCCAACAACAACAACAAACTCCAATCACCATGAACGGGAGAAACTTAAAGGAAGTAACCTCCTTCACTTATCTAGGAAGCACTGTTTCAACTACAGGAGGGACGGACGAAGACGTCAAAGTCAGAATCGGAAAAGCAAGACAGGCGTTCATTAGCCTGAAACGACGTTTTTCAACCGACAGGTCACAAGCTTGAGACCGGCTCCACAGCATGGTTTGGGCAGATAGGCAGTATCACTAGCTCTCATACAATAAGTGTGGATCAGACCTTGCTGCATCAATTAGAACAGGTTTCCTGAATGCATCTTGATTTTTCCATATTTTTGAATGTGAAGCTAATATCAGCCTTCCAACTCCACTTGAAGTTGACGCTGTATCGAACCTGAGACGACATAAAACAGTAGGACTGGACGGTTTGTCAGTGGAACTGTTTGAGGATGGAGGTAGAAAATCGCTGATTAGATTAATAGAAGTGCTAGGTGATGTATGGGAATCAGAGGTAGTCTCGTCAGACTGGTCTATTTCACTGACTATTCCTGGCTATAAGAAGGGGGAGGCCTTCTTTTGTCAAACATGAGAGATCAGTTTAACTAACATTGTATCTGACATCCTACAGCCCATAGTTATCCAACGACTAACTGAAGCACGAGAACAGCTACCTCGAAGAGAAAAGGGCAGTTCCAGACTTGCATCGATCACATTTTCACCCTCTAACATGTTCTGGAGCACGGGCATACTTACCGGCCAGTAACCAACACTTGCCATATTTCCTCACCTGTAGGCTACATTTGACTCTGTCGACAGTGAGGTGTTGTAACAGTATCTGACTGTGAAGGGGGTACCGAAGTATATAACCCTAATCAAAGCTCTCTACCCGAACTCGCGCAGTCGTGTAAGGGCTTATGGAGAGTTGTCATCTGAATTGACAACTAGTGGCGTTCGCCAGGGATGCCCACTGTCACTTTACCTATTTAGCTTCGTCATAGACGTACCAATGGACATGACCCTAGGTACGTCTGACTTTACGAGAATTGACTTACTCCCTGAAGGTCATCTGGTTGATCCGGAGTACGCAGACGATATTGTTTTGCTGGGTGAAAACGGTGACAAAATGCAGGGTCTTCGGAACTTGTTGAGCAGAAATCTGAGTATTTTTGGCATGTTTTGCACCCGCCGGGTGTAAGATGACGATCCAGGGCTGATCTGACACAACTTCCAGTTTAAGGATAGGGAGGGAAGTGATAGGATGCATCGAGCACTTCACTTACTTATGAAGTTGGATCAGGTCGAAAGGGTCGGTTGCTGACGAAATCTTGGTTTGTATACAAAGGGCCGTTTGGCATTTGACTACCTGCATTATCTGCCGCTGGCGAATTATCGACTGTCTGTTAAAGGATGAGTATATTAAGCAGCAATCCGTCCTATCTTGAGACAACCGTTGAAAGTAGATATGAAAAGACAACAGGTTTTTGACCACAGGTGTCTTTGCAGCATTGCTTGCAAATGGTGGCATCACTATGTGATTAATATTGGGGTTATGAGAAATGTGCTAGGCAAGGAAGGGGACAGCGTCAACGAATTTATGAAATTTCAGTGACTTAGATGGCTTGGACACATGTTGCAGATCCTGAGCCACCCCTAATTCGACGTGCAATGTTTGCTGAAGTAAAGTTGGGCCGGAAGAAAGCTGAAGGTAGCCAGACCAAGATGTGAAGTGTTTGACTGTTGGTCTGAGCCGTACAGGAAGGTGTAGACTATCTGGTAGGACTCCTCGAGACCACAGGAAACAATGGTTGAAGACTCTTGGTGGAATGACAGCAGCCTTTGTTTTTCTAGTTTTTTCTCTTAACTTTTCAGTTTTTCGACCCGCTTTTTTTATATGCTGCCGTGAAGTCTGGTAACTTGATAGGGAACATTTCTGAGCGAGGATCCGAGTTGATCTTTCGATGACTATTAGCAGCAATGTTTTCAGCATTTTAATTAACGTTTCTCCAGTTCCACAAATGCTAACCGGCAGTATGGCTGATACCAGTTGATACTCATGGATTTCGTCCAAAATTTCTTCGACCTACAAGTTGATTCAACAACGGAATTCCGAAACGGAGGCCAGGGAATCGCAGGTTTATAAGAGCAAGAGGATATAAGGACAGACTAGGTGAAAAACTTACCGTTCCCATAGTTTTCCTACTTGCATGGTCAACCAACTGCAAATCACAGGTGATCACGTGAAACTTGAAAGTGATAAGCTTAGAAAATAACTCCTGATGAGTAACAGATAGATCGTTAGTGTAAAAGTAAAGGTTAAACAAGCGCCGGATTGCCTTCAAAACGCACTTAATATTTTAGAAAAGACACTGAACGAGAAATGAAAATAGAAGGCAAATATTACCTGTCTTATTACCCCTACTCTACCCATTTACAACAACCGAATTCTAAAGTCCCCAAATTATCAAAATTTGAGTCCAAAGGAAATTACATGCAAGCAAACAAAGATGAGTGATGCTTAAAGGTGAAAGGTAGCTGAAGAATCTCTTGACTAGGGAAGCCTTGAAAACACTTGGTGCGAAGAGTGAACGTGGGATCTCATTTTGCGAGAACACTGGAAAAACATGTTTCATTTTCCCCTTCTCTAAATTGCTTAGTCACAGATAGTTTGGTACAATATTTCTTCTCCGTCTTTCAGTGCCCAATGATTTTCCACTAAAATGCTTTAAGTTATAAAGTGCACTTTAGGTTTGGAGGTAATACTATTTACTATGTTTGCTTGGTGTGCTACATTTAAGCTTAGCATTAATGCTAATTGGGACTCATCAGCATGTAAAAAGAGTCTTATAAAGTAACGTATCATAGAAATCGAATGAAAAATCCAACTGCTGCAAAATGGAAGGTATCTTCCAAACCTCTTATGAATTATGCCTAATTAAGCATTTCATAAAGTGCATTTGTGACCATGATATATTATTTACGTATAGGCTACAGCGTTGAGATTAAACGATGAAAAATGATCAACACATTAACTTACCCAAAATATTTGGAACAAATAGGAAAACATTTGTTCCCATGACAACGTGAAAAATCCCCAGATGAAGATATTGGAGATCGGCAGAACTACACCTGAAATGACCTTGGCCCAAATCCCGGGTTTATGAAGGCAGCTTTCGTGACGTATCATAACAAACTTTATCACCGTATAAAATTTTCAGAAATAGTTACGGCAGACTTTCTTCCATATTTCCGAGTCCATACCTACAAGATCGTCATACATGTCTCATGCCAGTTCAATTATTTTAAAGTTTCAATCAGGCCTGAAGTTTCGAATAGTTAGTGAACGAGCAAAGTAAAATTCTATATGTATATGAAGATATCTTGTACAAAACCCTGAAAAATGAGATGAGATTTATCCGTAATCCCAACGGACACATATAAAGACACAATCCTGCTCATACTTCCGTTCCGGTGGATTGTGCAAAATACCCCTGAACTATTTTTCTGCCGGCCCGTTTTGTCATCGAAGGATTGCTTGTTCGCTCACAACGCATCGCCACGGTACACAAAGCAAAATTCCCGTGTGGCGATTTTGATACCCATGACATAATCGGCAACTAAACAACTCCCCAAACTGCTTTGACAAGTTTGAAAGTACTCTAGAAGTTTGGTAACAGCATATAAAAGGACCCTCTAGGTACCATAGTGTTCTGAATCTAGTCTACGTTATCAGAAACACATCCACCAGGTCACAAGTGGGCCCACAATCCCCGGCAGCAATCTTCACGTGGTGTTCGATAACTTCGGCCCACAACACAAGAAGTTTTATTTGGATGCCAAAAATGTGTTAAGTGGAACGAAATCCGCACTGCCTAGATTGAGATATCCACTTCCTAAGTAGCTCAACCAGAGAACTCCCTGATCTATCTCATGAATATTTAGGCAGAGCTCATCACTGCATTTCTCTGGTACCCCCAACAGAAATGGAGTAAGACGAAGTTGACTCATTCCCGTGAAAGTACCTAACCACATGAATAATCCTGCACAAAAATTTCCGTAGGCCAAGCGACTTCTTGTCACTTGGCATCCTTGAACCTACGTACGACACGTTCTAGGTAGATAGGCGACTAGAAACTGTCGGACAAGAACGCGTTCATCATATTAGGGCTGGCAATCCTGGAGCGCTGGCGAAACCGGTGAAATTTCGGACGAGCAGTTCTAGATGAGACCCTCCTAGTTCTGCCCACAGACGAAAGGAACCTCAACAATGATCCTGTACAAATTTGCCGGCTGTTTGGGTATCACTTTTTTGCAAGGTGAAACCGGAAGTCGACAATGCATCATCACTACTAAGCCACTCCAACAGCAATAGGCTTTTTATTAACTAAAGTGTTTCCCCTGCAGTCACATCACTTCAATTGTCACATGGCACCAAAGCTGATGAGATCCCAACCACCTAGCCCAAAAGAGAGCCAGGGCTTGCTTCCGATTCTCTTGAAGCTGTTTAGCAAGCCCCTCTCCAACGGTAATCACCCTGAGAACTAAACGTTATCACAAATATCCCCCATGCATAAGTTTGGACAACCGTCTGATACTGAAGGCTGTCAATCCACAAACACCACGTCAGAAGTATCTTGAACCATGGAAAGGGTCGGTGTGTTGGAGGTCGTTGACTACATGACAACTGCCACCTACTTTCTCCAGTACAGTGCGGATCTATTTGGAGAGGTTGCCCACGTGCTACCTGCTTTCTTGACTGTCCGCACTCTCCTACAGGAAAGCGTGACCGTGGCCTGTTCTTCACCACCCTCTTCGCTGATCGCTTTAGACAAGATACACCACAAACGCTAGGTCAGTGGGCTGAAATCAGACAATTTTCAAGGCCCAATGCTGTCTTAGCCCACAACCCATCAAAGGGCGTCGCTCCCCAATACTGAAATCCAGCAACTGGTCCTCCCCCCGCAGATCTATGCAGGGTGTTTCCTTCCGGTGTTCTTACCATTCCTATTATTCCTACCATATGCGGATGATGTCAAGTAAGGCTATCACCAACCCCAAGTACTTCTTCCTTAATGGACCCAAACATTATAGCACAGGGAGTTCGACTGCTATTCCACTAGCCTAGGTTGTGTAGTCAGTAAAGTAAACGCTAGTAAAGTATGTATCACCCTGATATAGAGTCAGTTTTACACCTGCTTCACGTAGAAAAATCATAAGGGTTATTTTTATATGCATAAATCAAAAGGTACATATAGCTCGAGCGTCTCTAAGAAGATAGGAGATTCTGTCTTCTTAATTTCATCTTGCGCGGTGTATCACTTTCCGGTTTCTGATCGTGCTTTCCTTTTCTCCTTCTCTTTTCAGCTTAAGCTTGAAGGGAAACCCTGGGGATAGTGCTGACCGAAACTGTCGGCCTACTGAATTCGCTACTTAGTACTCGATACCAAAAATTATCGAAAGAATTCTTCAGCCGGTTTTCCCCTACTGATTTTCTACTTTCTGAGATGTTCCACAGCAAACGCGTCCAGTTACCAACAGCCTAGATGCAACCATGTACGAAAACCCAACTGCAACAAATAATCCAAGGCCTCTGGACGGTCATAATGACAGCAGAAATCTCAACAAACAACTAAGTCTGGGAAACAAACTCACCCGGTAGCCCGAAGTGAGACATGTTCGCAAACAAACTTCTCCAGTAACTCACCTCATTTGACCCCGTTTCATAGAAGACAATTAACGGTTAACAAACCTCCTTGGTAATGCTGTATGCTTCAATGTGAATTCTATCTACAAAATTCCATCACCGACAGGTTAACCATCCAGGTCACGTGTAGCGCAAACGTCGAGTGTCGTACGATCTTGGTATCACTTTATTGTGAAAAAAGAACGGCAAGTGGAAATGAATGAGAATCATAAACAATCTGCATGTACTGTGAAGTGATATTTTTCTGTTCTTTTTATAACCTGCAGTCGCTTTTGATGTCATGATAAACCCCTCTGAATCATTCAGCACAACTCGACTACCGGAAATTTCTTTGCCATCATCAATTTGTTGATGCCCGTAGACTGGCTTCTCTTATATTAACCGCTTAATTTGAGAATAAAATATTTATTTATTTATTCATAACATTGCGTGCTGTGAAACGAACTTCCACCCCCCGTGTAGACACATCGATCTCCCTTAAGATATTGTAGTTTGTAAGCAGATTATTTTGGGGTACTGTCTACTTCCGCCTTAACTATGCTGATCAAGAAGGTTGCGGAAACAAGCCTCCACGCACTCTTTTGTGTTTCTCGTCGAAAGTCCTGCTACTTCACCAGTGGTTTAATTTCATGGTGCGGATAAAAGTTGCCACGTAACTTCACTTCTATATAGCAGTTTTACTCCCCCCTCGATACTTGTAGCACCCTCAGATGATTTTTAGATGAAGTAATCTTAATATATGTGGTGTAAAATGATACTCAAGTTACTCTTCAGGAGTGTAATTTCATATGCTTGAAGGGAGGCATTCTAATAGGCTTTTTCTGCGAAACTATATGGCCTACAAAGCTGCATCTAAAGTCATTCCCCTGTTTTGTTTCGAACTGTCTCAAACATTCCGGTGTGTGTAACAGTATCCTATTGTCGACCTGCAGGGTATCAACAACTGTACCCTATGACGGTTCTTGATGTTGACAGGGGCAGCATAAAATCTGAGCTTGAGGAGGGATGTTTTTGAGGTACCTCGTGAATGCTTTCAATTACGTTGATGAGCTTACTTGTCATTAATGTATCCTCAACCTACATTGGGGCATCTGTATACCGGGGCTAAAGCCAGGCTGTAAAATAAAGTGTGAAGAGAATAACTGTAGAATATGCGGAGCCATCTGTCCTTCACCGTTGCTTTTGGTGACAATAGCACGAGTAACACACTATGTAACCTTCCCAAAGTAATGTAAGACTTACGACATTTGTGCACTGCTTGCCACTTCTGGCTTCCGGCTTCGAAAGTCAAAAGGCAATTTCATTGGAGTACTTACGTGTTCAACTTACCAACCATCTTTGAGCAATGCGGGCTGGTTAAGTTTAAGTTCCGGTTTTCCATGATCGGCAAAAAGTATAGTTATTAGCTACAACGTTCAGAAGGTCGGCAGTTTTTAATACGAAGAGATCATAGGTTAGATCAGAAGGAATACGCCACTTCATATAAAGTCTCGCCACCAGAGTTGGGCTACTTGACAGGGAAGTGGATAACAAGGTCGATTACACCATTTCGTTGCGTAAGACCATCGCATATTAGGTGCCCTGAAGCCTGTCCTGAGGCAGAAACTCAATACTATGGAACCGTACCAATAACGCTATGCAGGTGCGTATAAATCGAAGACTTACCCTCTAAATGTCTTCAAGACACTGTCTAGCGTAACCAACATACATTTTGTTCAAGTGATGAATGCAACTTTTTGGCATCAAGTAGAAACTGGTGATGGCGAAACTGCCTCCCACCTTCAGGTAAGTAACTGTTTATTTGTGTCCTCATTCTGAAAGCGAGAATTACGTTCGGGGTGCAGCACAGATGGAATCAAAAGCTAAATATTTGGTTATTATATTCTGACCAGCTAAGTGGCGAAAAAGGGTAGAGAGCACAATGAGTAAACTGCTAACCCTTCTTGAATTTGAAATTCACATTTTTATCAGAAGTTAACGCAGGTCATCGTTGTAGAGTCTCATTAAATATGTACGTGTCATGGACGATATGCCAAAAGCTTTAAGCATGGGGATGCAGACACATCAGAAGTTTATAACATCTTTAGAAATTATTCCATTTCATGGCTACAGTCGCGAACCTACATAAATTCCTCTGAGAAAGTCAAACAGTGTGTAGAATGACGTCTTAGAAATTCGGTGGTAGCACGCTGTCATCTTCTGAAATATTGGTTGCATTACCCCGCCTTCATTCGACAATGATCTTATAATCTGGAGATGTTTCATAAGTAGGAATTCCTCTGATGGGATGTGCGCATTTAGCAAGGTAAACCGTTTCTACTGAGAATCATATATTAGGCTCTTCTCAAACTATCTCGAAATCACAAAATCCCCCAGCTTCGGTTACGGCTTACAGCCGGGTGCCGCAAAATGCTCATTTTAGCGGCCTGAGATATGATTCAGAGTGGAAC